GATCTTAACTATGGTTAAAACTCTCTTAATAAACCATAAACCATGGTTAATTTATAACCATAGTTAACAAAATCTAACCTTTAAAAAGCCCATTTCGGCCTCTCTTTCACTTCGCATCATTTTTTCTTTCTTCTCTATAACATTTCCCATATATATTGACATGTTCTTCTTCTCCGATTATTAATCTTTCTTCGTGATCATGTCGGGCGGTAACGGAAATGCTAACGGTGACGGAGGATTTAGCTTCCCAAAAGGACCGGAGATGCCGAAGATAACGACCGGAGCTAAAAGAGGTAACGAAATATGCCATGACGATAGTGGACCGACGGTGAAAGCTACGACGATCGATGAGCTTCATTCGTTACAGAAGAAACGTTCTGCTCCGACCACACCGATTAACCAAACCGGAGCCGCCGCTTTTGCCGCCGTCTCCGAAGAAGAACGTCAAAAGATTCAGCTTCAGTCTATCAGGTCCATATATATCATATTTATTCACATATAAGTATTATTATATTGTTTAAGACGTAAGAACAAGTTTCTATAATTTAATTAATTTATATGAAATATTTTTTTTTATATCGAATTAAGGAAGATATTGCGTTTTCGTGTCGATCGTTTTCATATAAAAAGAAGAAGAAAATCACGAGTTTTGTTTTCTTTTTCAAGAATTGTCTTTTAGCTACAAAAGTTTCTTTTATTTTATCGCTTAATTGTTTCTTTATTATGTTCATATAAATGATCAGATTTAAATTTACGATTACGATTTTAATCATGATCCTATTAGTAAAAAAAACAGAATAAACAATATATAAAAAATTCTAACGTGATACACCAAACTTGGACATTTTAAATGATTTATTTTCGGAATAGTTTAGGCGTATAATCAGGTTTAGTAATTCAAAGAGAATTTAATGCAGCATAGTGACCCGAAAAATTATATTTAATTAATGTACATGACACGTGGTATAAAACGACACGTGGAAATAAGTTTAATTTTTTATTTAATTTCTGATATGTGAAACAGTGCTTCGTTAGCATCCTTGACGAGAGATTCGGGGCCAAAGGTGGTGAGAGGACATCCGGCGGAGAAGAAAGCCGACGGTTCAACAACTCCGGCGTACGCCCACGGCCAACATCATTCCATCTTTTCTCCGGCGTTAGGTGCAGTCAGTGATAGCTCCTTGAAGTTTACTCACGTCCTCTACAATCTCTCTCCTGCAGGTGAGGAAAAAAAAAAAATCCCGAATCCGATCTTCATGAAGTTTTTCCGATCTGACGATTTTCCGATTTTTTTGTTGTTGTAGAGCTTTATGAGCAAGCTATCAAGTATGAGAAAGGTTCGTTTATCACTTCTAATGGAGCTTTGGCTACTCTTTCTGGTGCGAAAACTGGTCGAGCTCCGAGAGATAAGCGTGTTGTTAGAGATGCAACAACAGAGGATGAGCTTTGGTGGGGAAAGTGAGTGATTCCTATCTGATTCGATGAGATTTCTGGGTTTTTGTTCTCTGTTTTTTCGTTTTATTGATTTTTGAGTTTGTGATTTTGATTTTAGGGGTTCGCCGAATATCGAAATGGATGAACATACTTTCTTGGTGAATAGAGAAAGAGCTGTTGATTACTTGAATTCCTTGGAAAAGGTATGAATTCGAAGCTCCAAATCAGTGTCTCTGAGTGTATAACCTCTATATCCTCTAGAACTTGATGAATTTGTTGTTCATGTTTGGGGTTTTAGGTGTTTGTGAATGATCAGTACTTAAACTGGGATCCAGAGAACAGAATCAAAGTCAGGATTGTCTCAGCTAGAGCTTACCATTCACTGTTTATGCACAACATGTAAGTAAAACCCATTCTTGCTTCTACCATTTCACAATGTCAAATCCATTATTGTTCTTTGGGTGAAAAAGCAACGAATTAGCGAACAAAATGTATAACTGGTGAGGGTGGCAGGTGTATCCGACCAACTCCAGAGGAGCTTGAGAGTTTCGGTACTCCGGATTTCACTATATACAATGCTGGACAGTTTCCGTGTAATCGTTACACTCATTACATGACATCGTCCACTAGCGTAGACATTAATCTTGGTAGGAGGGAAATGGTTATACTTGGTACTCAGTATGCCGGGGAAATGAAGAAGGGTCTATTCAGTGTGATGCATTACCTTATGCCTAAGCGTCGAATTCTCTCCCTTCATTCTGGATGCAATATGGGAAAAGATGGAGATGTTGCTCTCTTCTTTGGACTTTCAGGTATAGTAGTGTCATAACAAAACAACCATGTTTTAAAGAGCTTGTGAACTGAGATTGACGGTTGTTTGTTTGTTTATTTTTTCTATGAATAGGTACCGGGAAGACAACGCTGTCTACTGATCATAACAGGTATCTGATTGGAGATGATGAGCATTGTTGGACTGAGACTGGTGTGTCGAACATTGAGGGTGGATGCTATGCTAAGTGTGTTGATCTTTCAAGGGAGAAGGAGCCTGATATCTGGAACGCCATCAAGTTTGGAACAGGTAAAAAGACGATATATAGGAGAACTGTTTTGAGAAAAAAAAATCAAATCAGTGATATAACAATAGGGTTATGATCTCGTTGCAGTTTTGGAAAATGTTGTGTTTGATGAGCACACCAGAGAAGTGGATTATTCTGATAAATCCGTTACAGGTAAAAACAAGTTATTTTATCTCTCGTTTTCTTTCTTCTCTTACAATTAAGAGAATGATCATTGCCAATTATCCTTGTTTTGCAGAGAACACACGTGCTGCATACCCGATCGAGTTCATTCCAAACGCTAAGATACCTTGTGTTGGTCCACACCCGAAGAATGTCATACTTCTGGCTTGTGATGCCTTTGGTGTTCTCCCACCAGTAAGCAAGCTGAATCTCGCACAAACCATGTACCACTTTATTAGTGGTTACACTGCTCTGGTAAGTCCCAAGAAAAGTCTTTCTTTTACCATGGATCAATCTCCATAAACTTCAAAACCTTAACCAAAGATGTACAACATATACAGGTCGCTGGCACAGAGGACGGCATCAAGGAGCCAAGCGCAACATTCTCAGCTTGCTTTGGTGCAGCTTTCATAATGCTGCATCCTACCAAGTATGCAGCTATGTTAGCTGAGAAGATGAAGACACAAGGTGCTACAGGTTGGCTCGTTAACACCGGTTGGTCTGGTGGCAGGTATGTCCGGTTATAGAAAACCGATACAAGAAAAAAAAAAAAAAACTGTTTAATCTGTGTCAATGTCTTAACACAGAGTATGTTCATTCTTGCAGCTATGGTGTTGGAAACAGAATCAAGCTGGCATATACTAGAAAAATCATCGATGCAATCCATTCGGGTAGCCTGTTGAAATCAAACTTCAAGAAAACCGAAATCTTCGGGTTTGAAATCCCAAGTGAGATCGAAGGGATACCTTCAGAGATATTGGATCCAATCAACGCCGTTAGTTTCTTCTCCAAAAACTCTCTTTCTTTACGAATTCTAAAATTACGATGAACTGTTTTGTTGATTACGCGGTCTTTTGGTATTTTTATGAAAATTGCAGTGGTCTGATAAGAAGGCACACAAGGAAACTTTGGTGAAACTTGGAGGTTTGTTCAAGAAGAACTTTGAGATTTTTGCAAACCATAAGATTGGTGTGGATGGTAAACTTACTGAGGAGATTCTTGCTGCTGGTCCTATCTTTTAGAAAGTCTATGATGTTGTTGTCTCGGGGAAGAAAACAATATTATTATTAAGAATAAATGAGACTTGTGTTGGTGTTTCTTTGTATTCAAGAAAAAGAGTTAAGAGAATGTGTTGTGAAGAAAATGATCATATGTAATTTGATTTTTTTTTTTTTTATCTATTGTCATTTGTTGTCATTTTCATTTCTCTCTTGCTATATATACTTTTTAATTTGTTTTTCTACAAACAATATCCATCAACAAGAAAATTTTAATTTATGTGATCATATGATAACATGGAAAATTTTAGTTTTCAAATCATTAAAGATTTTTTTTTTGTTTTGGGTCAAAATTAAAGATCTTTTAAAACAGGAAAATGATACAAGGACCATTTTGGAAAAAAATAATAAAATATGATATTAAAAAAAAAATTAGAAATGATTATTTGAACAATTTTCAAAAAATCAGATCTTTGGAGGTCCAAGGGGGTTTAACGATGGCTGACGACGACGGAGTAAATAAAAGTCGCCGCTTTTTCGTGGCGGTTCACGTCGGTGCCGGATATCACGCGGTGGCTAACGAGAAAGCTCTTAAATCCGTCATAAGACGTGCTTGCTTAGCCGCCTCCACCATTCTTCGTCAGGTCCTTCTTCACTTTTCTAATCAAAGAAACCCCTAAATCTTTCTCGAATCTCTAAATCACATGATTATAACTATGATGGGTCTGATTGATACAAAAAAGATCAATTCTTTATTCTGTTTGAATTTAGGATTTTGGTGAGTGCATAGATGCTGTTTCAGCTGCAATTCAAGTCTTGGAGGTACTTGTTGATGGGTCTTTCTCCTTTGTTTCATCAAGTGTGTGCTTCTTTATAACTTTTGTAGTGATTACTATGTGTGTTAATATTAGGATGATCCGAGTACAAATGCTGGTAGAGGCTCTAATCTAACTGAAGATGGTCATGTGGAATGTGATGCTTGTGTTATGGATGGTGATTCGGGTACGTTTGGAGGTGTTGGAGCTGTTCCAGGTACTCGTAAAGCTCTCGTTTTTTGTTTGCTTGTGTATCGAATCACAGTATCGATTGAGATTTTGGACGATGAAATGTAGATTAGGTGTTAGAAATGCCATCAAGATTGCTGCTTTGTTGGTGAAGGAGCAGATGAGTGGGTCAACTTTGTTAGGCCGTATACCTCCTATGTAACGAATCACCGTTCTTTTGTTCTGATAACACTTCTCAGCTTTGAATCTGTTTCGTGAAGGATTGAACTTTTCTGATTTGCTTTCTCAGGTTGTTGGTTGGTGAAGGAGCTCGACGTTGGGCTAAGTCCAAAGGTGTTCTTTTGCCTGAAACTGTTGAAGAAGCTGATCAGGTTGAGATTTTTCACATTCTCTTGCGTTACTGTCAATCACTCGGGTTGTTTTATTCCTTGAGAATGAATGACTTTATATGTATTTGTATGTTTAATCAGTGGCTGGTTACTGAGAGAGCAAGAAATCAGTGGAGAAGGTTCAAGACCATGCTTTCTGCTGAAGAACAGCTCAGCGAAACCGAGAAAGAAGAAACATCATGTGAGGATAAGATCATGGACACTGTTGGTGTTATTTGTGTTGACAGCCAAGGACACATTGCTTGTGGATCTTCAAGTGGTGGTATTGCAATGAAGGTATGATAAATAACAACCTGTTCATAGTTGTTCTTGTCTTCCGAAAGAATTTTTTTTTTGTTGTTTCTGATATTTGCATCTCAGATTAGCGGTCGTCTAGGTTTAGCAGCAATGTATGGTTCTGGTTGTTGGGCATCTTCTAAAGGACCATTTGGAGCTCTTTTTCGAGTTGGTTGTTGCGTGTCTGGAGCGGGAGAGTATCTTATGAGAGGATTTGCAGCTAGAGAATGTTGTACTTCATTGTCACTGTATATTTCCCTTTATCCTTCTTAATGGTTATGCTTTTTTTTGTGGTGTGTCAGTTTGTTATTCTGTGCCAAAGCTAAGAAAGGATGCTCTTTAGTTCACAGGCTGGTCCAGCATCTGCCGCGATGAAAGTTTTACGTTCTGTGATGCAACAAGAAATTGGAGTTGCTGACAAAACTGCTGGGATTCTAGTGGTTCAGGCGGATGCTTCTGTTGCGGTAACCTCAAGATTTAGAAGAATTTCGTCAGTATCTGTTGTTGTGAATCTTACTTATTTCTGATTCATTCTAAAGGTTCCTGGGAACACATCAGAGCTGAATGCTGTTGAGATAGCTGCTGCTTACTCATCGCTATCTTTTGGCGTGGGATACTATGGGAACTCTATATCGAAGCCAAAGGTATTGCCCTTTTTCGGATACCGAAAGAGAAAGCTTGTCATCATGTTGTATGCTGGAGCTAAGTTTTATGATCATTGGATCTCTCAATTGTTTCCTTGAACAGATTTCGATTCTCAGGAAGAAGGTACGGAAGAGTGAAGCTGGGACAATAGATCATTTTGAAGCCAGGATTGATCTCCGCTCATCATGTTGCTGATCGATTCCTGGTCTTTCGAATCTTGGTTTTGTAGGACATACTAAAGTTTCAGAATCTGTAACATGGGACACACCACCCTTTCACAATGTGTATTCTATTTCTTGACAAGTTATGAACTAGTTTTGGATGTAAAAAAGAAACCAAATTTTCTCATCACTACGACTTATTGGGACACGGTTAAAAAACTTTCATGCATTAAACTTCCCAAACAATACATGTGAGATTGGGTTTGGCAAAAACATGAAATTTCTTAATTTGGGAAGATTCCATGTGTTCTACATGGCAAAGGCAAAGACAGATTATTATGGTCACAGTAAGAACGAAAATGAAAGACAAATCTAGAAGAGGTTGGTCTTCTTTATATGCTCACATTGTCTGCAAAATAAGAGACCAATAAAAGAGATCTCTCCAATCCAAGCGAAAAGCTTTAATGTTCTTTTTCGTAATCGTCCTTGGTTCCAAAGTTCTTGCACCAGATCTGTGAAGGAATCGGGCGTACTGGCATGTGTGGCCTTTGCTGAAATATAAAAACAAGGGTTTTCTCAAATCTCATGATCATCAAACAAGAAAAGTGGAAACAATAGAGTGGCCTCATCAATAACAAGGGAAATACACATAATATTAACAATTTAACAACTTGAGTGCTATAAGTTGTTCATTTCACCGAAACACATTAAAATGTTCTTCTGGACTGCATACTAACAAAACATATAAACCTATGCTATCTGTTACAATGGATTCATAAACCGATGATATATGTTACAATGGATCAGAAACATCCAATTTGCAACAAGTAGACAGCGCCTAATCTGTAACAAGCTACATAAGTTTACCAACGGTTGCCTCAATCAGTCTAGGCATTGAATTGGAATGTGCGAAATCAAATCTTTGTCCACATACCTATAACTAGTGACACTGCAAGATTTGAGGGAAGAAACAAGTATACTTTCAGGATCAAATCCCAAGCAATTCCCTTTTACTCATACCTAATACTAATGACAAACACACTACAGATTTGAGGTAAGAAAAACATGATCCAAAACATCCAATTTGCAGCACGTAGACAGCGACTAATATGTAATACGCTACACACAGAGCAACCAAGAACACAACACTGCAAGATTTGAGGGAAGAAAAAAAAAAAAATACTTTTAGTATCAAATTCCAAGCCATGCCCTTTCTCACTCATTAAATAAGTATTCACTCATACCTAACACTAATGACAAACACTGGCCAAAGAACACACTTCTACAGATATAAGGTAAGAAAAACATTAACTTCCCAGGTTCAAATCCAAACCAATTCCAAAGTTATCCACTTATTCTTCTCCAATCCAAATCTCTAAGAAAAGACCCAAAGAAATGTTACCTCGAGCTCAGCAGATTTCATGGCGATTGGGATACAAACAAGGAAAATACCAAACATAGCAATGGCTGTGTTCCTACGCCAATGTTTAGGTCTACAGTAAGGTCCACCAGACATACTCCATACTTTAGCCCTAAAATCTCCACCTTCTCCTCCATGTCCATGCTCACCTCCTCCCATTTCTAGATCCGATCGATTCCTTTTCCTAATTCCGATAATGACAGATCGATCAGTACAACATAAAAAATCAAAACTTTCAAGCAAATCCTAAACCCACTAAAAAGCTAATTCCTTTTTCAAAACAAGCGATTCTCCAAACAAGAGAAAATCACAAACCTCGAAAATCGAGAGGTAGAAGATGAAGTTTTTGGTGTATCGAAGAAAAGCAAAGAAATCACCTGTTACGATAGATCTTATTGGTGAAGACTCAACCTCAACCGTTAGATTAATTTAACTTTAGTGTGGACCTTACAACAGACGATCCCACCTCTTAAAGCCCATTAAGAGAAGTAAAAAGCCCAATCTTGTTCACTTTGTAAAAAAAGAAATTTTGTTTGTTTTTTCGCCTATAAAAGCTTTTGACCATCTCTTTTCGTTTCTCTAAAAATTCTCTTTGCTTCCTCAAATCTCAAACGTAATTTTACTTTCTTTGTTTCGAAAGGTTTCTTAGTGAATTAAACATCTCTTATTAGGGTTTTATATTTGCAGGAAGATATGCAACGTTGTAGTGAATCAGAGTTCCTTGAATTTCGCCAACGGATTAAGGAATCAATCAGGAAGAATACGCAGGTCGAAAACGATATTGCTCCAAATTCAGAGCAGAGTAAAAGAAATCCTCCGTATAACGAGTAAGTCGTATTTTTTTTTTAGGTTTTTTATTCGTATGTATCGGAGATAACTTGGGGAACAAGATACAATCTCGATACAAGATACATATCTTGCTCGCCAAGTTGTCACGAGTAATATGATTCACCAATGTATTGAAATTGAAAACCCTAACTCTGTTTTTTCCGCAAATTTCTGTTTTTTTTTTGCAGCTTTGGTTCCTTCTTTGGTCCTTCTCAGACTGTTATTGCTCCAAGAGTATTACGAGAAAGCAAACCGATGTTCGAAAACAAGCTTCTGACTGAAAAAATGTTGAACTCGATCCAAACTGTATGTCTCAAATCCTTCTTTTTTTTCACATTGATATAAAGAAACTGTTTTTGTTTGTTCATACTAATGAAATTGCTTTTGTGTCTTTGTGTGCAGAAGAAAAGTTCTGGTTCCGGGACTAAGAATCCGAAAGAGGTAAACCTTCAAACGCGCAATCATCCATCGATGTTTTTTCGCTTGATCGGAAACTCTTGTGTTGATTTTTTTTAATACCTTTTGCTTTGTTTTTTTAGGAGTTGAAAAGAAAAGTTGAGAAACTTAAAGATTCAAGAGACTACTCATTCCTTCTCTCTGATGATGCTAAGCTTCCTGTTCTCAAAGAGGAACCACTTTCTCAAAACCCCGCTACTCCGAATCCTAGACCGGATTCTTCAGGCAGCCAATTGCAACCTAGACCGGGTTCTTCAACTAACGGTCAAGCGAAGATGAAGAAAGTCTCTTCGGTAAATTCTCAAACGCATCGAAAAAGTTCCAAATTAAGTCCTCAGAGAGCAGATTCAGTACCAAGAAGTCAAACTTGTCAGAGACCATTAACCTCATCAAAGCCATTGACTTGTGTTCCAAGAAGTCAAACTAGTCAGAGACCATTAACCTCGTCGAAGCCATTGACTTGTGTTCCAAGAAATCAAGGAGTAAAACAGAGAAAAGTATCTCAAGAAGTCACATTGTCTCCTTCGAAAAGTATCTCAAGCAAGCCACCATTGAAACGACAACCTCATCAACTAAAGAAGAAGCTGAAGAAGAAAATGTCGAAAGATGATGAATTAGCGTTGGAAATGGTTAGAAAAATGTGCAACACTGATCGTTATAAGGGTCGTGATTTCGATGATTATGATGATGAAAACATGGAAACCAACTTTCAAGATTTGATCAAAGAAGAGAAACGAAGGTACTTACTACTATATGCAAAAATTCACATCTTCTTACTTTAGTAACAATGTATATATATAACATGTTTGTTTGATTGGTTACAGTGAGAAGCTCGCGAAGAAAGAAGATGCAGAGCAACTACGGTTGAT